CGCGTGTGTCTGAGACCTTCCCTCTGCCCGCCCGCCCCGCGCCCGCCCCATGGGCGGGCAACTGGAAGGTGCCTGCCTGTGTCCCTAGTGGGACATCCCGCGCCAAAACTCCCGCACGGGCACAGCTTGTTCCCATGACCCCACGATGAAAACCACGTCCCCTTAGCACCCCGTCACCCCCCCGAGTCCCCACACCATCCCGACATGCTGACACCCTGTCCCTACCCTGTCTCTCACTCGTGTCACAGGTGGGAGTGGGTGGCCCCACAGGGCACCATGCCGCTGGGGCAGGATGGGCCCAGCTGGAAGAAGAGGACCGAGGATATTCGGCGGATCTACGACTTCCGAGACGTCCTGGGCACGTAAGTCGCAGTCTGGGGGACACACCGGTGACAACACTCACCGTGATGGGTCTGGCCCCTCCAGCTTTGCCAGACCTGCCAAGTGGAACCGGCTCAAATCCTGGCCTGAGGTGGGGCTGGCACATGAGGGGAGACACTGTGTGGCACAGGTGCAGGTGCCACCTCCCACTGGCGTTGGCTGGTTCCTCCTGCTGTGACACGGCGTGTCTGTGCCATGCCCAAGGATGGTCCCCCAGCTGGCAGAGGGGTTTCCACTGGTGCCCACAGCACTGTAAGGCTCTTAGGCTGGATTAGCACGTTAATTACGTCAAGGCTTAGGGCCCTTTGCAGCGTGAATATGCTGCCTGTCACTTCCCCACTTGGGCACTGCCAGCAGCTTTGCCCGGCTACTAATGGGCACCTCAGCCCTTGAGTGACCCTGGGTGCTGTGGGATGGCATGGCACAGGGCTCAGCCCCAGCACGGCTCATCCCCAGCAGCATCACAGCCTTATCCTGTCTGATAGGATGGTGCAGCCATACCGGGAGGGACAAGTGGTGCCAGGCGCTCTATTGCTGGCACTCTATTGCTGTCCAGCCATCCCAGCGGACGGCTCCCACTTGCTTTTCTCCTATAAATAGCTGGACTTTCTGCCTGTCGCCATGACAATCGTGGCATAGTGGCACTGACGGCTCTGGCTGGCAACCCCCCCTGCCCTGCTTATCCCTTAACCCCCCTAGGGGGGCCTTCTCCGAGGTGGTCCTAGCGGAGGAGAAGGCGACACGGAAGCTGGTGGCCATCAAATGCATCGCCAAGAAGGCACTGGAGGGGAAGGAGACCAGCATCGAGAATGAGATCGCCGTCCTCCACAAGTAGGGGCTGTCCCAGCACCAGGGTGGGAGTCCCACCCCATGGCACCCCCCACAACCCGGCACAGCTCCCCACTGCCAGCATCCATTGCCGCATGTTATTGCCAGTGCCCAAAATAGCCGGCAGCGCGTGATGCCCTGCAGCATGGAGCCTGGCTGCTCTCTGTCCCGTGGGGGCCGGAGTGGGGGCAGGTGGGAGCCCCCTCATGCCCCTGCACCTCCCCCTGCAGGATCAAGCACCCCAATATCGTGGCCTTGGATGACATCTACGAGAGTGGCACTCACCTCTACCTCATCATGCAGCTGTGAGTGTTGTTGGGGGGCTCCAGAGAGGTCTTGGAGGGGGGACTGTGCTGATGGGTGCTGCCCATCCCTGTAGGGTCTCAGGGGGGGAACTCTTCGACCGCATCGTGGAGAAGGGCTTCTACACCGAGCGGGACGCCAGTGCCCTGATCCGGCAGATCCTTGATGCTGTCAAGTACCTGCATGACATGGGCATCGTCCACCGCGACCTGAAGGTGAGCAGTTGGGGGGGAGGGGGACATATGCTGCACCCTCATGGTGGTGGCAGGAGGGGAGCCCAGTGTTGCCCTTCCCTGAACCCCCTCTCCTCGCAGCCCGAGAACCTGCTCTATTACAGCATGGACGAGGACTCAAAGATCATGATCAGTGACTTTGGGCTGTCGAAGATCGAGGGCTGCGGCAGTGTCATGTCCACGGCCTGTGGCACCCCCGGCTATGTGGGTGAGTGCCTGCTGTGGGCTGCCACCACCCTGGGTGTGGGGTTGGGGTATCCCCACAGGTTGGGGTCCCCCCTCACCCCTGCCATCCCCCCCAGCCCCTGAGGTGCTGGCACAGAAGCCTTACAGCAAGGCAGTGGATTGCTGGTCCATTGGGGTCATCGCCTACATTCTGTATGTATCCCCCCTCGTACCCCTTCCTATCCTGGGGGCCTGGCCCCAGGGCTGCCCAGGGCCAGCATCCCTCTCCCCCCACCCCCAGGCTCTGCGGTTACCCCCCTTTCTATGATGAGAACGATGCCAAGCTCTTTGAGCAGATCCTGCGGGCCGAGTATGAGTTTGACTCACCTTACTGGGATGACATCTCGGACTCGGGTGAGCTGAGACCACCAGGGTGGTGAGGGCTGGGAGCCTGGCACAGTGTCACAGAACCCAAGGGAACAGTGGGCATAGACACTCACAGCTGCTCAATGCCCTGTCACAGCCAAGGACTTCATCCAACACCTGATGGAGAAGGACCCCAGCAAGCGCTTCACCTGCGAGCAAGCACTGCAGCATCCCTGGTAAGGGGTGACCTGCCACAATCTGCCCCTTCTCTGGCTCACCCCACAGCAGCCATGGGGTAGGGGGGCCCCAGCTGACCCCCATCTCGCTTCAGGATCGCTGGGGACACAGCCCTGGACAAGAACATCCACCAGTCAGTGAGCGAGCAGATCAAGAAGAACTTTGCAAAGAGCAAGTGGAAGGTGAGTGGGGGTTGCTGCGGGGTGCTGGGGGACACAGAGGTCTCCCAGGCACCCCATGTCAGGTGACAGACACTGTGGGGTTGACAGCAAGCTTTCAACGCCACGGCAGTGGTGAGACACATGAGGAAGCTGCAGTTGGGAACCAGCCAGGACATCCCTGGACAGACAACTCCCACCAGCCCCAGCGAGCGGCTGGTAGGGGGGACCAGCAATGGTGAGCCCTGACCCCCTAATCCCCATCCTGCAGGCCCCAGGGCTGCTGCCAGGATCTCACCCTGCTCCTCCCTGCAGGGTCAGACTGTGGGCGCCCACCCACAAGCAGAGGTCAGCGCCTCCCTCCAGACTGAGCACGGCCCCACATAGCCACATCCGGGGGGGACCAGGGGGGGACCAGCCCTCCCATGGGCACCATGTGGGGTGGGGGGCCCTGCAGTGCAGGAGCAGGGGGGACAGTGTGAGGGCACCCTGCTGTGCTTGCTCTGGGTTTGTGGGGCTGCCCTCATTGCAGGCTCACAGCAGAGATCTGCATCGGGGCAGGGGCACCCCACGGAGCACCCCCAGCTTGGGGCTGTGTCGCAGGCCCCTTCCCACATCCATTCCCTCCCTCCGTCCACGCCTGGCCTGGCACTGTCCCACACCCCCACCCCCAGCATGTTCAAGGAGAATTTTCCAAATGGATGTTTCTATTTTATTGCTTGTAATAAAGGCAAGAGGCCAAAGGTGCTTGGCTCGGCTCTGCCCTGGGGGAGCTGGACACAGCCCTAATTCCCCCCAGCCTCACTGCCCAGAGCAGCGGCTCCCTCCACACACACAGTGGGCAGGGGACAGGCACAGCCCACCCCCCTCTGTCCCAGGCTGGCAGCACGCACAGTGTCCCACTCAAGCCACTCTTCCTCCTCGGGTGTCCCTAGGGGGGCCCATCCCCATGGTGGTCCTGGCTTCGGCTCTCCCAGGCCTGATCCCGGCTGCTGGTCAGCTCCTGGCCCTTGCGGAGGTCAGCACAGAACAGTACCTGGAGTGGAGAGAGATGATGGGGTGGGTATGGCCAGGATGGGGGTAAGGGCTGAACCCCAAGCTGCCTGGGACAGGGGTACTCACCGCTTGTGCCCAGCCAGCGCGGGGGCCCCACAGCCCCCGAAAGAAATCGCCTGTGGAGAGAGGGTGAGTGCCAGCATGGGGGACACAGGCACCATCCCTGAGGTCCCATGTCAGGGCCCAGCCCTGCCCTCACCGATCTCCTGGTAGGCCCGGGGGGTCAGGCTCTTGCTGCCCACTGCCACACCGTAGCGCTGCTGTGCGATGTGCCAGACATGAGTGTCCACTGGCACCGCCTCAGCCTTGTCCAGGGACACCAGGCAGACGCAGTCAGCCACCTGCCACCAGCAGCACTGTCAGCCCCTGATGCTGGACCCCATTCCCCATCCCACCCCCACCCTGGCACCCACCTTGGCACCTACACCGGGCAGGGCGCACAGCACCTTCCTGGCCTCGGCGTAGGGCGCGGTGCGGAGCTGGCGCAGCCCCTCAGCACCGAGACCCTGGGCGATGGCCTGCGCACTCCCACTGACAAACTTGGCCCGGTACCCAAAGCCCAGTGCCCGCAGCCGGGCCTCGGCATCAGTGCCTGCGTGGACACAGCACAGGAATGTGGGTGGGCGCAGGCGAGGTCATTGTGGGGTGGAAGTGGTGGGGCGGCAGCAGACCTGTGAGTGCCGAGAGGGACGGGAAGGCGTGGAACGGCCGGGCGTCGATGGAGCAGAGGTGGCGGCCAAAGGCCTGGCAGAGGCGCTCAATCATGGCAGTGATGCGGGAAATGTGGTTGTTGGAGGTGCAGATGAAGGAGAAGAGGCACTCGATAGGGTCCTGCCGCAGAACCCGCACCCCTGCAGGCAGGACACAGTGAGGGGATGCCGGGCAGGTGCTGTGGCCATCTCTTGTGGCCCCATGGAGCCGCCTCACCTGGGAAGTCCTCGGCCACCTTGCGGAACAGGGGGTCGGCCGCCTCCCACTCACGATACAGGGCCGACAGACTCACGTCCAGCTGGAAGTAGTCGCGCAGGATCCGGTCTGTCTCCGCACCGTCCAGCTTGGCTGCTTTGGCGGGGCACCCACCCCGTTCCTCCTCCTTGTGCTCATCCTCCTCGCCGTACACCGTGTACCAGAGCC